GGATGTGAATATTCTAGTCTGCATGATCATCTTCAACTACTCTGCATTTGATACAGTTCAGGATGTCCTCATTCATAAAACAAGTGAGATAGGTGCTGGTAGAGCACTTCTCTCCTGACAGCAGGACTGCCTAAACGGAAGAGAATTCCGCACCAAGGTCAGTCGTGTCTAATCATTCTGTCACAGTTTAACATCGGCAGTTTCATAAAGTTCTGTCCCAGGGGCCCTTAATGTTTTTGACTTTTTCCATGCCGACTGAACTGCAGGAATCTAATCCAGGCTGATTACGCGAAGATTAGGAGAGGAACAAAGCATTCAGTGGACTCACGCAGGTTCGGGGTAGTAGTGAAAATGCTGAAACACTGAGCACTTTCAAACTAGAAACTTTAGAGTAGTGGAACTACGTACTTAAACGCAGCTGGGTGCAAGTTACTCAGCATGTGGCAATAATTTAATGATAATAATGATAAAGCATTATTTCAGACAAAATGCGAACACCTAGTACAGAAATTTTCGGCTCATTTAGTTCCAGAATATTTCCTCCTCATACACCATTTACATTTAAAGTAATAAACTGAAGTGTATAATGTGAGGTGTTGTTGTCGAGCATGTACAGATAACCAAATCAGTGGATTTTTTCTCCAACCTTCCCAAGAATCGCGCAATATTTTGTTGAAAGCTTGTAAAAATATGCGCACGACTCTATTTAGTGATCGTCTGACATAACTGCACGATTAAAACAATACGAAACACACAGGGTATTAGGCATTTTTGTATGGATATTATTGTAGCCCAGTAGTGTAAGTAGACCGCCTAGTTTTACAAACGTCAGAGTACGACTAAGGTCTCGTCCTAACGGAAAAGCAGGATACATGTACCAATTACTGGGGTAGTGTGACGATGGAATACCCGGTCGTATAATTCACGCGTAGATAATTAATCTGGTTAGCTTCTGATATTTTTCTAGGAGAGTGTAAACATGCTTATGGGCCCACCTTGAAGTGCAGACTCTCTCGACACAACCCATGGAGAATAGCGCATCATGGAGCAAAGAGTCAAGTGCACTTCCATTTCTGTCCTATTTGAATTCGCCAGCCACAGGACTCTCCACTAGCAGCTGTGGCTTCCGGACTGTCCGTGGAAAGCCTTATGCGGAAGTTGGATAATCATGCGGCAACAAAGGGAGTGTGTCCAAATTGAGTATCTCCTTGAAACTCACATGCTGCACTGTATTAATGGGCATCGTCTAAACCCATCTTTTACCTCTGCTCAGTCTCTCTTGTCTCATCTTTCTGACTGCTTTGCTATTTCATTCACTTACTTTTTAATTATTATATTTCATTATCTAACTATTTTTTGATTTTTTCTGTTTCTAGGTGTGCACAATCTGCACTAATTATATTACTATTATTGTTCCTCTTTTCGACCATTTAGAGTCTCTCAAACTCATCATGATGTGGTCACTGAAATCGGTTTGACGACTAAGGCATTCAGAAACATGAGACTGGTAACCGAGTAGTACCTATATTGTCTGTTTTATTTGTAAGGGTTTCTTAACCTACTTAATGAAGAATACCCTTTCGTGTGTTTGACTGGGTTTCCCGCTTCGATTTGGCATTGCCATGCTATCAAAAATAAGTTTTTAAAAACTAGCTGTTGTTAGTCAATTCGAGCTTCTAAAGCCACAGTAGTCGATTAATGAGTGAAAAGACCAACTTCACTCACAGGAGCGACACAGTCTCAACACACCACATACTACAAAGCACATATAACTAATCTTTGTGTTACTCGCCTTAGAGTCAACCAAAGCTATAACAGTCGATTAGCAGGAGATACTACGCAGTCTACAGAAGATTAGGAATCTTTACTTTCTAACCAATAAGCGGCACAAAGAAATTAATTTGGTTCCTGCGATATCGGGATGTTTCGTGCTGGATTGAAAATTTACAGCAACGGATTTTCTCAGCAACACAACCGATAGTATGCAAAAATATCAGAATAACAAGTGAACGCCTTAACATTTAGGCATCAAAGTTGAGATTTTGGGCTTTCACCTCCTCACAAAATTATGTCACTGATGTCCAATATTGAACTTAACTGTTTACCTTATTTTTCATTGGTTTCGTAACCGATTTCGGTTTACGGTTTCAAGCAAATGTCGGCTAACCAACACCGAATAATTATTTTAATGCTCACTTGTGATTAACTACCAGGTGGAGTGTCTAGAGTTGTAATGGTCAAGCGTGACCTTTGGGGTCCCCCAAGTCATCTTACAGGACATATATTCACTGGTAACATTACCTGCCGGTGGGACTGTATGTTGCAATTTCGTACAAGTTGCGATTCATAGTTAATTTGGTTCTGTCTCAGTAGACGGACTGTCAGAAGCCTCTCTCTGTAAAGTGAAAGTCTTTGTTTCTCTCCCCAATGTAGGCATTGGTGCATACTGCTGAACAGTCGACAACCGGGACGAAGCAGCTATTCATCCACTCACTAACTGATGTCAGTTTTTGATCTAACTTGAAATTCCTTACAAGTTAAACACTGGAGATTCATACATCTTCACTGAATTACTATTATAACACTAGTAATGTTTCTTTGTTCTCTAGGTTAATTTTCCATTGATTAATTGATTACGTTGGGCTGAAATGCTCAATCTCTGTTGTTGACTTGTCGACTGTAAGTACGAACGCTTCGACGCTGTTTAACATGAAGTTATTCTGTGGAAAGAAGCAGGCGTATTTCGTCCTATTTATGACTCAGCGGCAAGTGGATGTACTTGCTTTCGAAGTGATGGACTCAAGTCCCAATGAAAATACCATCAGTCACTGGGAATACAGGTACATGGAGCTGTGACGAGTCCCTTGGTAGGAAGAGATGCACATCCTGGACTGCATTGTTTGCCCCTAACAACCCAAATAGCAAAACTTCTAATTCGGGGAAGTTTCTGCACACAATCCATAAAATACTTAGATTACCAGTATTTATAAAAGGTTTATACATACAATGTTAATGGGCAACAGAAGCCAGAGGTTATTGTCAGTTAGTCACAAAAATAAATCAAAGTGTATGAGTACTTACAGTGTTTAAGAAATTGAAAATAACCTTACGTAATAAAGAGGTATTATTATTATCATTTATTTCATTCCTTTACATTCACAATGGAACATAAGACTTCAAGCTAGAGCTTTGAAGATTCGGTAGCAGTTGTTTTATTTTTTACTGGGTGGGATTGCTAACTTCACGCCCAGCCTTCCCCTTTTATTAACCTTTCTCCCGACTTAGCGAGGCTTAGGAGTGCGTCGACCGGGGCATAGGGATTCAACAACATATCTCGACTTTGTTCTATTTCCTGCCATCCCCTTCCGCTGGGTCCACGATCGCTCACAAGTTTTCATCTCTTCCTGACACGATCTCCTCCATGTCTCCCTCGAACAACTCACTCACCCGTCGCTTCCTATTTGGATTGCACTAGAGGGCCTGGAGCGCGATGTTATTTGACAACCTCCTCAAAGTACTCTCGATTCATTTTCATTTTTTTCGACGTATTTTTTCAGCAATCGGCTATTGGTTGCCAAAGTTTCTTGTCACCAATTTTTTTCTCACTGACCATTTGATCTTCAGTATGGAGCAAGCGAAGTCAGCTATTGATAAAAGTCTGCAATAGCCTGTTGTAAATGCTCTCCGTGACACGTAGTACAAGTTTCTGTCCCGCATGGAAGAACTGAGTGACTTCACATTTGTGTGTTCTTTGTGCTGAGTGAGTGACGGCAGAAGATTTCCCTATTGGTTTCAGGTTGATAAAAACGTATCTTGCCTTTCCGATTCTAACTGGCTGGCTTTGATATCTTCATCCGTTTCAACTGCCTGTAGTTGAAACGATGCTCCTTACCTAAGTGAAGGAGGTAACCTCTGAAGAATCTCTCACTTTGATAATGATTGGTGCTTGTTGTTGTTGCTGCTGCTGTTGGTTTGTTGGTTATCTTCATCACCTCCGTCTTCTCTATGTTCACCTGAAGCCCTATCTTCGCTGCTTTCTTCTTCAGCCAGTTTGTTGCTTTTCGCCTGTATGTCTTTGAGTTTGTGTCACATTAGACATATATCATCCATACGCGAAATCCAGAGCTATTTAGAGTCTTCTTATCGACTCAACGTATTCCTATCTCCTCCTTACTAACAAGCTAGTACGCCCACCACCTAGCAAACCTCCTAAATAACCGTAGAGTTGCGAAATGAAGTGTGTTACAATGGAAGAGATCTCTTCGCCGACTTATATATATTCTTAATTTACGGAAATAGATATAGCATTTGTAAATATAAAACAAATTTCACAATGAATTTCTTTGTTTTGTTTTGTTTTGATTTTTTCTCTCTTTCAATACATATTTTAAAAAAAGATTAAAAACACAAATTTCAAAAGTAGGTTATTTCTGATTAGTTAGTAATCAAATAAAACAAAAAAATAGAATTGAAATATAACTAACTACACAAGAAAACAATACACAAGTATATTGCATTGTTTAAGTATTGTTTGTAAATCTGTTTTTATTTCTCTTCACATCTCAAATGAAGGATTCCATTCTGAAAAGAAAATATCGTTGTTATATATACATTCAAAGATCGTTGAACGTTTGAGCACCAATACCACTACTACTAAATGTTAAAACAGACAAACAAACAAACTACACAGAGCAGAGACTAGAAAGAGTGATGATCGCATAAATGGTTATAGAAGAGCCGAGACAAGGAATATACCCCCAATAACTCAATCTATTAATTTCCTTTATTGATATGGAAAAATAAAACTATACACAAATTATTATTATCTATCAAGTTGTAAATTTGATCTGAGATGAAACAAAAAGGCTGTGAATACAATACACATTGATAGCGTGTGAAAAATAGAATTTGAAATCAAAATCTGACACACAGGCATACACATACAAAGAGGGAGCGATTACTGATCCTGTTCAATTTGTTCAACGGGTTGTGTTTTGACTTTGTGTTTGTTTGTTTGTACCAATAAATCTCAAAATGGATTATTTATTGAAATTTAAACATAATGCGAGATTGGATTAAGAACTGAAAAAGTGAACGGAAAATCAAAAACAAAAGAAATCAAACAGATAGATTCAACAACTCATTTTGGGTATATATAAAACTTAAATGTATGTGTAAAACTTGGGCACTGTGGTAGTAAGTAATTCCATATTTGTTTGTTTATTAGGTATATCACACAGTGAAGAAACAGTATTATTTACTGGATGACAAAGTTTCGAACAAAATTTATTGTTCATAATCATTTCATCAATTATAATCACACGACTTTGAAACTTGAGTTTTATAGTTTTCTTTGTTCTCTCCTATTTGTCGTAGGGGGAGTAAAATTTTCCAGATATCTGGGACAGGTGATGAATCATTCCTATTACACATGTATTTACAGTTGATTCGATAAACAAAGCTTCCGTTGTTATCAATCTCTCCCTATATCCTGTGACATTAGATTTTAAAATTGTCATCCTATCCCATCCTATTGTATGGTTGTGTGTGACGGCATGTAGTGCTATAGCTGAACTATTCTCTAGATTTATTATCTTATTCGGGTCAACCAATCTAGATAAAAAGTCGTGTGATCACAATTGATATGATTATGAACAATAAATTTTGTTCGAAACGTCATCCAGTAAATAATACTGTTTCACTGTGTGATAAATCTAATAAAAAAACTAATATGGAACAACTTAAATGGTTATAATATTTTTTTATTATAATAAAGTGTTTTTTGTATTTCCCAATGAATGAAAAACAAAACGATATTATTGTTTTTTACTGATGTTTCTCTGTTTAATGCTAATAGCTTTATCAAAGTAGCTATATTAAACTAGAATTTACAAAATCCACTCAGCTTATATATAACAACTTAATCATCGTTCCTCAGCATGGGGGCATTTTTGCGTTGTCAAATTGACCAATTGGTAAAGATAACGAAACCAGGTGTAAATTGTTGGATTTGATAAGTGTATATAAGATTATAAAAGCAGCGAGTATTTACATAATGAAATTGCTTATCCCTGACAGTGTTAATTTTGTCATTTCATGGGGGAGGGCGGGGTGGTGTAACCAGGTCAAATTCTGTTTAAGTCTATCATTCCTATTCATACAATTTGGATACCACTTGATATGATGTGTTTCTGATATTAGACGTTCTTTGTGATTTCTGAAATGCATTTTCTGGATGATGATTTCAATATTGTCAAAATCAATTTTGTGGCCTGATTCTATACCGTGTAGAGAGCTATGGCTGATGATATTTTAGTAAACAGGATATATACTTAAAGTATATTAGATTCAAGAGGAGAAAATCTGTCAGTCTGTCTGGATTCAACATACAACTTGGCACCGAAGTGCACCAGTTCGAGTTGCCACGTTCCAAATATCACACAAAGGTAGATAATAAAGTGAGTGAAGAGAATCAATAGAGTTTTGACAAGTATAAGAGTGAAACAGAATGAGTAATGGCAGACAGGAATATGAAAGAGACTCTACACCTAACGTCAACATTACTTACCTTGTTATACCACCTAACGTGAGAAAGAGATCGTAGACATCTATGATCAAAAACAGTCAACCTTTTCATGTCTTTAACTCGTATTGGCCATGTTTCAGAGCCATAGAGAAGGACGGACCAAAATGCTGAGCAGTACACATGTCCCTTGGTTGATAGTAGGATGTCACGCCTACGCCAGAGATGGTGTAAGTTAGCGAAAGCAGCTCGAGCTTTTTGGATCCGTGCTGAGATTTTGTCGCCAATCAGTCAGTTGGTGCTGATGCAACTTCCCAAATAGGTGAAGTGGTCAACATTTTCTATCACTTCACTCCCTAACACTAAGCTAGGAGTTGACGTAGTCCAGTCCTGTAGCAGCATCCTACATTTTACAGGGGCAAATAGCATGCCAAACATACAAAGATTGCTGCTCAAGGTGTTCAAAAGACTCTGCATTTTGTCAGCGTCCTCGCCTAGAAGGAGAACTATACAGCTCTTTTGTCACCTATGATCCATACCAATGGAGATTGAATCCAAGACCTTCAAATTATGAGGCTAATGTGTTCACGGTTCATCCAGTAGGATGGAATTCAGTGTCCAGCGTTGAGCACAAAGTAATTTGAAAACTACTTCAGTATTATGGAATGCCTGAAATCTTAATTTACCTCACTCAACAGCTGACTATATGACAATGACAAGTGTCAGGTGATCCACAACGGAAAACTCAGCGAAGTCAGGCTTTGAAGTGAATACAGGAGTGAGACAAGACTCCTTGTCTCTTATCACTGATGATATTCTCAATTGTGGTGGACTAGATTATACATGATTACACACAATGATAAGTTTTGTTATTGACAAAACTGGCTGATTGGTCTACGAGATTGCTGTTTAACCGGAAGATCTTGGATTCAAACCCTCGTGGTGGGTGCGCACTGCCGATGGGTCTCGAATCGGGATGAAACGGCTGTCCAGTACTCCCTGTAGCTGGAATTCAATGGTTCTTTAACTGATATGAGTCCATGATTGAACTTGAAAATAATCGAATTCCTACAAACAAACTATTGAAAATTAGTCTATTTGCTCGTTAGTGACTGACTGGCTACACCATGAAGTTGCCCAGAGTTCTAGTGATGCAAAGTCGCAACCAGTAGGGGTAACCCGGTTGGTAGTCATAAAAGTCATAAAGTCAAGAAAGACTTTTATCACTCTAAAATCAGTGTAGATGCCTACTGCACTCAGCATAAGGTACAATATGCGGATTTTCGACACTAATGTCGAGTCAGTCAGTGCTTCTTTGTGCTTCGGGGAATTGACGCGTCAAACACATCACTTCCAATGGACTGAAGACTTTTATCAACAGCTGCCTCCATTCCATACTGAAGATCAGATGTCCAGCACCTATTGCCCAAAAATTATGTCAAAGGAAATAGGAATGGATCGAAAACATGCTGAGGAAACAGCTGAATGAAAACACGCACCAGATCAGTCTTTGAGTAGAACCTGAAAGGGAAACGCAGATTAGGGTGTCCAAGGTTGACATGGGGGAGATCGTGTGAGTAGAACATGAAAGCTGATGAGCAATAGTGGAGCCAGCCAAGGAAAGAGTTCAGAGAACATGATGAAAGGAAGATGTGCTAACGAATCCCTATATCCCAATCAGAAGCAAAAGGATGTCGGCTCATAATGAAAACTCTCAACCAAACAAACACAATCCCTACAAAATGAATACTTGAAAAGAAATAATAATAATTTTCGACAATACTCTCACCATGATATTCATTCAGCCATCACATAACAGAAGTAGACTATATATACAACGAAACTTTCGTGTACGTCAGTGGCACAGTGGTTAGGACTCTCGTCGACTATATGCACATGGTTCGGGGTTCGATCCCCTGCCGACACAAACCTGATATCAATTGATCGGCCTGAAAACTTGGGCTACCGATATTACATGCTGAAAATTCCATACTTGTACCAATAATACGGTGTGGAATCAAGCTACAATCAGAAATATTCGTTAGACTGAGCTTTTTATACTAAAACATTTATTATACTGTTCACTTATCAAATAGGTGTATCGGTGCTTCAATAACTGCTGACTGCTCGCTGGGTGTGAAGGAATTTCGGATTAAATTCCCAGCTGACAAAGTCCTAAACTTCGTGTAGTTTACTAGCCAACAGTAAGTTCAAAAAGAGAGGATAAGTTGGGCATGAGACGCCCTGCAGCATCACTGCTAATCAAACCTTGAAAAGCCTTAAGCCTTATGCTCCACTTTGTACCCAAGAGTTGCAGAAAAATGATCCACGAGAGACGAAAGAACAGTCTTATCATTCATTTGTAAGAAATAATTCCGTGGGGAGATTTGTTTCAACAATTTCATATAAACGAAGCGACAACAAATACATAATTAAAATGGTAGTTTGTTAGTCTCATAAATTCTCAATCTTCAATTTGACCTCTTGTATAGTTTGACAGGGATATGTTGTACTACGGAATCCTGAGTAGAATGAAACAACTATCTTGTTAACCCTTGAATTTCAATAAGCCTCTCTTGAAGACATCTCTCTTGAAATCAGTTAATTTTCTGACAGACAAAGCATTTATAAAATTGAAACTGTACTTTCATTGGACACTAGGTAGTAACTAATATCCAATGAAAGTGTAACCATAGAAAACAATGGCCAGATCAACAGATCATTTATTGAGGAAATCAACAGATATTTTTGATTTGACACTAGTAACTAGTGTGATGCGTCTAGTCCTCTCTTTGGTGCAGACTGAATTCTATCAGTCAGGTTGTAATGTGGCCACCATTCTAGGTAGCTCGCCATCACAGCAGCACTGGGTGACGCGGGTTCGAATCTCAGAAGGGACATCAGTTCCTTCAAGGTTGCAGATACGCCTTGCTGATGAGTGCCAACTAGCACGAAACCTAGGTCCAAGGCTTCCTGCCGATTGCCTCCAACCACCTAATATCATCACAAACAATGTATACCGTGATGGCGAGCTACCTAGAATGGTGGCCACATTACAACCTGACTGATAGAATTCAGTCTGCACCAAAGAGAGGACTAGACGCATCACACTAGTTACTAGTGTCAAATCAAAAATATCCATTACAGTCCTACAGGAGGTCAATCGCGAGCCCGAATAGCTCAGTGGTAACGTCTCTGACTGCAGCACTGGGTGACGCGGGTTCGAATCTCAGAAGGGACATGAGTTCCTTCAAGGTTGCAGAAACGCCTTGCTGACGAGTGCCAACTAGCACGAAACCTAGGTCCAAGGCTTCCTGCCGATTGCCTCCAACCACCTAAAATCAACAGATATTTATATATTTTTATATACATTATTATTCGTTATTGTTAGCAGAGAAACAGCGTCTTCTGATTGGTTGTTTTCTCGCTGAGAGTTATTCTGTCATCTCTTTGTGGCCGTTTCTTTCAAGGTCAGAGCATATATCAGCGAATCGTATCCGCCCACGCAAAGTTTGCTGTGATTGGTTGTTGAGTGAGTCTTTGCCCTTGTTTTTTTCTCATGACAAAAATATGGCACGTAAACATTGACGTAAATTGCTGTCTACCAATTTTGGTTGGCAGACAGCTCTCACCACAAAAGTGGCTGACACGGGCTCGAATCTCAAAGGGGACATTATCTCCGTCAAGATTGCAGATGCGCCTTGCTGACACAAGTGACATCAGACGCGAAACCTAGGTCTAAGGCTACCAACCGATTGCCTCCTACCATTTAATAACAACAATTCAGATGAAGTTATATATTTTAAAGTAGGATGGTGGTTCAATGAATCTTATTACAAAAAAGAAATTAGGATAAACTTAGCAGATACAATGAAAGGATATAATATAAAGGACGATAATTTCACTGGTTAGTACAGCTTTGTAAACATGTTTTGTGAATATGAAGATCACTCACTCTCTCTCTTTCTCTTTAGGAAATCCTTGGAATCAGGTGGATTACATCAGATGATTATTAGCTAGCTATAAGAAATTGAAATTGCTTTTATAAACCTGTGTCAGCCGTTTCATTGTAGTAATTTACAGGATTACTCAGCTGTGCGATATAGCAAGTTAAATTTTCTTTTTTTCTGGTACAAAAATGTTTTTGTCCGAATTAATTTACATTTTAAAGCTATATTTATAAGGTTTTATAGTTAATCGTTTGGTTGAGCGTTGAAACATACTCACAGAGGTAGGGCGTTCCCACTTTGTGACTAGTGTCTACGCATCATTTCATCTACACTTGAAAATATTGATTCTATGAACAGTCATCATTTTTTCTTAAATCAATAATACATTAATAAAAAAAGAAAGGGGTTTATCTAAAAAGTGTGTATTTGAGCAAAATACAGGCGTCGGTGGTCCACAGGTAGAATGTCTGCCAGTCACGAATATGGTTGAAGTTCGATTCCCGGCTGGTGCATTCCTAAACTCCTCCTAGAGGGTAACAGACCCGGAAAAATGTCAAGGTTGGGTGTTAGGTTAACAAATCCACTCCGTAAGGACAATAGAAGTGGTTGTCAATTGATAGTGTGTGCATGCTAAATAACGCAGCATCTTACATAATCACAAAAATCATATAACACAACTTACTTTTTTCCGAGACATAATCATCATTAAAGGGGATATTAAAGGCATCATAGTCTCATTATAATTTCGTTGTCTTGATGAGCGCATCCTCCAAGTATGTGTCTTCAATGACCACAGGATCAGAATATGTTACAGCGAGTAGTTCTTTACTCCCCGATAACTTTAATCTATCTTCTTTTACAATATATTCATTTTTCAATGCATTATTCATATTACTGGAAGATGTATTTCTTTTATACAAATCATTATTGGAGAGGAAACTTTGGCAATAGATGACAGCATCATGAATACTAATAAATGACATATGGTCAATTTGTGATGATGTCAAACTGCCACCACCACTTGTTAGAACAGATTTTATCTGTGGATCACATGCAGTGAAGAGAATACGAATGCCTAATTCACCGTAACATTTCACTAGCTAAAATGGAGAAAGAGAAGGCAAATAGTTAAAGATTAAGCACCAATCAGCGAATGACCTTGAACGCACCAATCACATGAAGGAGGTACTTTTGGGTATGGAACACATATATTTATGAAAAAATATTTTTTTAAAAACTGTATAAAAGTGTTACAGAGGATACCTTTCTCTCACATGTGATAACAACATCGCCCAGTTTAGCATAGGATTGTCAATGGAAAAGTTACGCCACATCCAATGCATATATCCATCTAAATGACTATAAATGACATCCTTCCGAGATCCATTAATCGTCCTAATCCTGTTTTTTAACCTTTCCCAAAAACCTTCGATAGAAGTGGTGTAGGTCCCTGCAATGGGATCTACAAAGTCATTAGAATGGTTGAATCTGTTGTGAATATATTCAAGGGATGGCAAGGAGTTACAACCTTTCCGCTCATCTGTGTCTATTATAGATCATTGTTTCACCAGTCGAGTGATAATAAGTATTGAAGTACTTGGCTTTCTACCTGCTATCCTCTCGACGAATCCTTTCTGTAGAGAGGTATCATATGAACCAATCACCAGAACATTATTCGCTCGTACCCGACCACGGTTGTATTTGATCTTTAATAAGACAGTTTCGTCTATGTGTACGATGACACCTCTTCCTCCCAATACGGAAGTAAGCCTTTCCATTTCCCAGGATTCGATACTCCATGGAGTGCTGGTACCACTGAACTGTTGATACGAAACTTTTTTCAGTTTCAACAGGCTGTTTTAAAACCCAATGATTACAAATGTACAAAATATGGGTTAGGGATAGATGGGACCTAGCGAAGAATGTTCCTACGAAATATGAGAATCATCAGTTTACCCTCCCTGACACTAACTCGTCTCAAACAGATTCCACAACAGATCTGCTGAAACATTTTATGGTCATCATACCTCCACATGAACAAATCCTCTCTCTCTCCTAATCAACCCTACATCTATGCAATACTGGAAGACTTGGTCCTCACCAAATTGCAAACGCAACTGCGTTAGAGCAGGCATTTGACTCGAATCAAGCGGGATAGAAGCCTCAAGTCATGTGAACAAATCTCATTGGACCATTCAAGGTCAATGGTGCGCACGCACTCCATTGGTAGTTTGTAGTGCTTAAAGTCTAACTTGACCAAGAGAAGAAAGCAAGCAAGGGAAGGTAAGGATTATAAAAGCAAATTGGTCTTTTGATTACTTCTCCTTTTTGCTGAAGTTAGGAGGGGAGATGTTATCTCTGTTAAAGGACAACTGAAAGCTTCATAATTAAATCGTACAGTTGGCTGCGAGAACTACACCATCACCACAACAAAAATTTTATAAGGAAAAACACAGCTTTTGTTTAACCGAAAAACATATTTCTTTTCAACGAATTCAAGTTATTTAATAATCCTTCGAAGTGTTATAATTCATCCACTTCAATTCTACCCGCTTAAAATCATATTAAATATCTTTGTTCTTATCATACGCAAATTGATTGGGCAATTTTCAGTATCACTTAATGACTTCTTGCGTAATATAAACACGACAGTAGAGCTTGGAACTAAAGTCGTTGCAAATGATTCTTTTAGAAATTATTCGATTTCGTCATGAACCAACAACAGTTAGGGAAATCGGTGGAAACCACAGAGCATTGGACATCTGTTTCGTCCTGCTTTGGGACTCTTCATTAATTCGCACTCACGACCTTGCTAGTGATGGGACCTGGCTTACACATCACTAGATTGTGGATCAAGTGTCGGAATGGTCAACAACCAGAATATTCCAGTTTAGATCCAAGGTGGAATCGCAGGTGCATATCACAGAAGAGTCCTAAACTAGGATGGAACAGCCACCCATTTCTCTCTGGTTTTCAACTGATTTTGGTCCAGGATGAAATCTGGCAACTGAAATTAATCCGAAATCCCATAAATCACATAGTCTAAATATTTTCCCTACAAGTGGCTACTCATTCTAATTTCATACAACTAATTATTATTATTAGAGACTTGGATCAGAGACTTGGCGTGTCACAAACAGCACCTCAAACAAGCTACAGACCTTCATTAACAGATGTCTTCGCTCAATACCCAAGATCAGATGGCCGGAAAGGATCACCAACAAAGATCTCTGGGAGCGAACCAACCTACCAGGAACCGATTGTGAAACAAATAGGCAGGAATAAATGGAGATGGATTGGCCATACTCTGAGAAAACCATCAAGTGACCTCACTAGACAAGCCATTGCTCGAGTGGAACCCGAAAGGGAAGCGGCGAGTTGGTCGTCCAAGGGTGACTTGGAGGAGGTCATGTGAAGAGGAGATGAAAGCATGTGGGCAGACTTGGAGACAGGTGAAGGCTCTAGCAGAGAACCGAACGCAATGGAGACGCGCGGCTGAAGCCCTATGTTCCTCTAGGAACTAAAGGAAATAATAATAAATAATAATATTTTTGTAAAATTGATATAAAGAGATTATTCTGTGAAAAGTGTTAAGTTCAGAATGTGAATTCTTAGGCGGACTAGTCCGCTCATAGTGTTCAATAGTGTCAAATATTTACATCTTAACAGACTTAAATCAGATTCTTGATTTCTTCGGTAAGAAAAAGTCTTCGTTAAACAGCGAATTTGTGATATCTAGTGATGTAACGTTTGAAATGCACCAACCGTGCAACAGTGGATTATGTTTACCCTTCATGTTGAGCATATCACATTTGAGCGGCGCGGTTACACTCTGATATTCTCTATTCCTCCAAATCATGTTATGAGTAATAGGATTTCATCATGAGCTGACATCAATTAGAGAACCATTGGCAAACCTGGGAGTACTGGACAGCGGTTTCGTCCGACTTTGGGACTCTTCATCAGTGGGAAGTCGTGACCAGTAGGGTGCAGCAGGTTGGGTGTGAGGACAAATACTCGCCATCTACGACATTGGCCAGCGGTCGCGCTATGTCGTGAATTGGCAGAAGTTAGAATTCATGGGCCATTGGATTAGGTCGCATTGGCTTAATGGTATACCAGCTCGCCTTGTAACCAGAAGGTCCTGGGTTCGGACCCAGCTGGCGGTGGGCGCGTACTGATGAAGAGTCCCAAACTAGGACGAAACAGCCGTCCAGTACTTCCAGTGCTGGTTTTCCAATGGTTCTCTAACTAATGTCAGCTCATGATGAAACCCTGTAACCAATCAAATCCCTACAAACCAACACTTGAATATTATGAGTAATAGTCTGCAATTTTAGAAATGGTGTTATGCGACAGACTGATTTCTCGCACGTTCTTATTTCTACACTATTCATCATTCAGCTTAGATGAAAGCGGTGCCTACATCGAGACAATATGGTCTAGGTCCGATGAAGAGCTGACATCAGTTAGAGGGCCAACGAGAAACCATGGAGTACTGGACAGCTGTTTCGTTCTAGTTCACGACTCTCCAGCAGTACGCATCCATCTGGGTTCAAACCGAGGACCTTGCGGTCACAAGGTAAGCTAGTATGTACTCAAATCATCTCATTCAGTTAACATTCACAAGTTAACAAATTATGAACAGATGCAAAAATGGTTCTTTAGAGTATTGAGTATATACATTTGAAATTTCATATATGTAGATGAAATTGAAGTAAATTATATACAGCTTAATCTAATGTGTAGTACATAAATCACGTTCACAATAAATATCGCTTCTCATAAATCAGCGACAATGTTAACAAGAGTCTAGTCTGAAACTGAATCTTTAAATATACGAAAAAAAAATACAATAACCACAATGATTATTGAAAGAAAATATCGATCCACTGTCCTCTTCATAAATCTTGGTCTTTAATTCTCTTGTCCATTATAACTGGCAATAAAAAAAGGGTTTTCGGAGTATAAATGCATTGTTTTTTCAAGCTATGAGTGTTTAGGCGACATTTTGTATTGTGGTAACAATCCATCTATTGTGCAGTGGGTGACAATCTAGTAGACTGGTGGGTGTTTAGAACAATGGGTGCAGGGTTCGAGTCCCAGTGGGAACACTCATTGGGTAGGTGAAGATTCCAGAATAGAGTGAAACGCTGGTTGCTCTGTACGCCATTACTGGTCACCACCACCACTAACCAAAGTAACTTGAAGTTAATCCTAAGACAACGTCAATGCGACGGTACTAGAAGCGAGCATGTCAACAACACAGACCGAGCATTTCGGTTCAACGTAACCAATCAACATGAAGTGCAAGATTAACCTTAAAAAACAAGTATTAGGCAACGGTTAACAGAGGGCAATGTATTTCATGTGATTATCGTACTATATAATTTATTATTATTCCCTTTAGTTCCGAGTGGAACATACCGCTTCATCAACACATCTACACTTTCCCCTATTTTCCGATGTCCTCTTCAGCTGGCTGGCCCCAAGATTCCCCAATGATCTCTCATCTTCTCCTTGCCACACAATATCCACCATGTCACCCTCGCATCGGCGATCAACTATTTGCTTCCTATTCGGACTCCACTGGAGCAATGGCCTGCATTGCGCGCAATGTCACTCAACTGTCTACTCACCTTATGCTCGATCAATCTCCATTTTCTCCTACATATTTGTTGAGCGATCGGCTGTCGCCTGTTGGTTTGTTGCCAGAGTTTCTTGTTGCTAATTCTTTCTGACCGGCTCGCCATTTCACATTCAGTAAGGAGCGAACGAAGGGGGCAGCTGTTGATAAAAGTCTGGTCCATATAGAAGAACTGACTGACTTCATTTCTGTTTTGAAAATCCGAATCTTATTCTTGATGCTGAGGTGGAGTTCAGAAGATTTACCAAATGGTTTCAGGTTGATGAAGGTGTATCTTGCCTTTCTTATTCGGACTCGCTTTGACATCTTCATCCGTTCCAACTACCCGTAGTCGAAACGATGCTTCCCAGATAAGTGAAGGTTGTCTCTGTTGAATCTCTCCCTTTGATGGTGATTGGTACTTGTTGTGTTTCGTTTGATGGTTATCTTCATCATCCCCGTCTTCTCTGTGTTCACCTAGAGTCGTATCTTTACTGCCTGCTTCTTCTGACAGTCTGTCGGTTTCCTCCTGTAAGTCTTCGAGTTTGTGTGTCATTAGACCTATATCATCTGTGAAATCCAGATCTTCTAGAGTCTTCTTATCGGTGGTCCGACGTAACCCTGCTATCTCACTCCAAAAGCATTGTCTGACGCAAAAACCAGTCCACTATAATTAAGAATATAATCATCCTTGTCTTACACCTGTATTCTCTTAGAATACCTCACTGAGTTTTCCGTTGTGGATCACTTGACACGTGGCACTGTCATATAACCAGCTGTTGAAAGAGCTTGACAAAGACTTGATGTACGCCGTAGTGTTGAAGTAGTTTCCAAATTACTTCTCGATCGATGCTGTCTATTGAAGGCCTTTTCGATGTCGATAAATTTGAGGCGGAGTGAGGCGTGACAGCCATTCTATGCTTTGTTCTGTGATGATGATGCGTACAGTAGCAATTTGATAAGCACATGATATGACTTTCATGAATCCAGCTTATATATATATATATACGAAATGCTTCGCTGTATTGCACGACTAATGGGAAGTCTGTTATGCATGTCAGTTGTTTCTTATTATGATTTTGTTTTTACTTTTACGTTAAGAAAAACTGACAAAAAAGAACTGAAGACCAATTGTGACTGGCATTTTTGTCCAACCATTACAAGCGTGTGGTAGTATATTTTAACAAGATATAAGGTACCATTCTTTTTTTAAAAATATAAAGGTATATTCAGTTGGCGAATCTTCTGCTTCACTCAGCCAACATAAAGAACAAGATTCGGATTTTCAAAACATGTGAGGTCAGTCAGTCAGTCCTTCTATGCGGGTCAGAAACTTGCACTGCGTATCGCGAAGAGCATTCCTAACAGTTTACTGCAGATTTTTATCAACAACTACCTTCGCTCCATATTAGGGATCAAAAGGCCAGCGGGCCAGAAAGAATTAGCGATAAGAAACCCTGGAAACAAACCAACCAAGAGCCAATTGCTCAACAAATACGGAGAAGGAAATAGAGGTGGATGAGGGAATATGTTAAGGAGGCCATCAAATGAAATCAAGAGCAATGCAAGCCACGGTTCGAGTGGAATCCCACTGGGAAGCGATGAGTGAGTCGTTGGTGCGAGGGTGACATGAAGGAGATCGTGCAAAGAGGAGATGAGAGGTTGTCTTGCTCCACGATTGCCCATAAGCTTTCACATTTCTTCCGGACACGATCTCCTGGATGTCATGTTCTCCATACGGAATCTACGCAAGAGCCTGAGTAGTGTACGGTGTGACTCAACAGTCTCCCCAGCAAGTATGTCCAATCCACCTGCATATTTGTCAAGGGTAGTGAGTTGTTTCCTGGTTTACTGCCTCCCAATGTTCTATGTTGCTAATCCTTTGAGGGCATCTGATCTTCATTAAGCATTGAAGGTAGGTAGCTGTTGATGAAAGTTTGCAGGAGTAGTCTGTTGGCAATACTTTTGATGACTCACTCATCAAGTCTCTGTACAATACAGAAGCATTTATTTGATATTAGTGTAGAAGATCCGACTCTCGTTCCTTATCCTGAGTACAGTTGATGTTTGCAATGATTTCAGAGTAATGTAGAGCCTTCCAATTCTGCCTGTGACATCCTCATCAAGGCTTATCAATACTGTTAATGCGTGACAGAAAGAATATATATATCCCAGTGGAACATAGGGCTTCAAACTACAGACTTGAAGTTCCTGTAGCAGTGGTTATTATTTTTACAGAATAGGGTTGCTAGCCTCAAGCCCAAACTTCTCTCTTCACTAGTCCTACTACTGGTTTAGCGAGGTAGAGGAGTGCGTTGGCGGCCAGGGATCGAACTCCGGACCATATATAACGCTTCTAAATGCCTTAAATTAAGTTGTAATGTTACTCAGACTTTTGTTTCTTAAATTTAATCATAAAGTCATTGTATAATTTGCATATAAGGAAGCTTATCTCATATTGTTTCACTTAATCAAAATTTTTACAAATGGTGCTTATTGAAGGATAACATATCTTCCTATATTTGGTGTTGTTGAGTTCTCTCAGCTGTATTATTTAATTTCGAAGTCTTCCCTTCTAGATAACATCTACAGTGTTAACTGTAATGTGAACTGAGCTTTCAGAATTCCCCATGGATAATATATTTGTCTCTGCTGCTTATCTTCAGTATGATTGGTTGTTTCCCTAGACTTACTGACATTGCTGTTGAATGTCACGACGACGTATGTTTCGATCTTTTGTTAGTGTACTCTTATCCTATGAGGTTAGCGATGAATATATTATGCCGGAGATTCAAAAAGCCATATTAGTTAGATACTTACGAACAACCAAGCTGGAGTGGACTGTTGAAGAGTTCAAGACAGTGGGTGGAGTAAGCAATAGTTATCCAGTACTCTACATTGGTTTTCATTGTTTCTATGATTGATGTCGGTTTGTCAAGAGATTAAAACTGGAGTCAGTGCAAATAACCTGTGGGACTTCAAAATTTGAAAAACACGTGTATATTTGGTGAAGAAATTCAGTTTAGAAAACAAGCTGATCAAAATTTTGGATAATACCTTATTGATGCAAACATAAAACACCAATCAGTGCTGTGGAGGATTTAATTTTGCTAGATCGTAAAGGTTTTAGGTTAGATCACCTGCTGATCTCAATCACAGACCTACTGAAGAGCAAAGATAACCTGACAGATGTTTCTTCCTATTTTAGCACACCTCATCAGTACGCACCTGTGACTCCATCCTGGATTGGACCAAACGCGTCAGTTTACGAAGCAAGCGTGTTGACTATTTAGCTATTAGTGCAACAGTTGTACGACTAACATATATACCTCCTAATTGCGATATAACAATATTGTTTTTCTCTTGTGTTGCGGAGATATGGGCCATGTGAACGCAGTGAACCGATTGTCGGAAGATGTAAGTGGACTTAACATGAATGATTAAACACTGAACTTGTACTTTAGTTGGTTGGTGAGACGGATTCTTTCCTGTTTCATAGGTGAACCTTCTCCTATTGTCTTTACACCAGGACGAACTCCAACGGGTATACCATGGACAGGTCATTGGATTCCGTCTCGTGGACTCAATGTTGCACAGGCTCACCTCGTAACCTTAAGGTGTCTTTGGTAAGATCCCTTATGGGGGTCATGCGAACCACCAAGTAGAATGAAATAACTGTCAAGTTCTTACTGAGTTTCCGTAGTTCTTTCATTGATGTCAATGCATGATCTATCCTGAATTTCCCAACCCCTACACTCAAAAATTAGTATGCTTTGAAACAGAACATAAACCGTAGATCAAAAAGGAATGCTGATTGGGTAATTCAGAAGAGATTTCAGCATTGAATTCCATTTAGAAATTATAGGAATTAGTATATTTATATATCTATATATAAATCGATAGACAATAAGCGATGAATACAGATCAGGTCATGGCCAAATGTACACTGAAATCAATTAAATCCCTCTTCCCCCTCCCCCAAGTGAACCCTTAACATCTAAAGCAATAACACAGCAAGAAGGCTTTGAAAAGCGTTTTTGGCCAATACTGTGCCAAAAACTAATATACTTATGACAAGTAAACTTTGCAAAAAAACTTACATCTGTCACAGTTCGCATACCAACAACATCTAAATATGTCCAAGAGGATATATCTAAGATAATAAATTTCAATTGTTTAGTAATATTGGGTTGAACCTTGAGGAAAAAACAGATGGAAGAAAATAAAATCAGAAAAGGTAAATACATTTTGCAATCTTAAAATAAGAAAATACAAGAAAAAAAAGAGAAATGATCAAGTTATTCTTTGTTACATTTTAAATAAGTCTATAACTTCATAGCAGTGAGTGGGTAGAATGCTTGTCAATCATGCGGCATATAGTTCGGTTTCGAATTTCAGGCGACACATGTGTCCACAGAGAGCCATTCCTTGTCTTACCTCTTTTTTCTTCCTAAAACAATTGTACACGTTTCCCTGAACATCACCATCGGGAGAGTTAAAATGTTCTTCTATACAGGAATCTTCAGTGATGTGATATAATGTCTCCAACTTTGCTCTCATGGCTGCAGTAAAGGTATCTTTTGTGGTTTCGTCCTTTAATTTCTGAGTGTTGAACTTGAATTGTGATTTATTTTCAATTGACCTTAAATGTTCCTTGCACTATATAATGGTTTGGACTCCCATCTGCTCCCCTTCTCGACTTCATGTCGAGCAGGTTGTGTCTCAAATTGTTTAGGGTTGAGATGAAGTCTATCTGGTGTTTGGTGTGTCCGTCATTGGAAATCCATGTTGCCGTGTGTTTATCCTTGTGCTTGTACGCGTTACACCCACTCAAAAAGATCATCAAAGGGGCATAAGTCTGAGAAGAGTTCTCCGTTATTATTCGTTTCCCTGAACTCATCTCAACTCATGATGAATTCACTTCCTGTATTGTCTGCTCACAGTTCATCTTGCACTCATAGTGCTCACGGGGAGTTTCATATCGATATTTGGGATGTTATTCATTACTGTTTGCGGATGCCTATAGAGATCTTCCTTCTTCTCTTGTTCTAACTTGTTTGTAGCATTGGGTATCTGTAACCTTCCTTCCTTTTGATTCCAACTGCATGAGAGCTTTGGATGTCGTTGGTGGTATCATGATAGCCACTTACTGTCTTAGTGTACTCGTGGTTTTCGTCTGGATAACTGGAATAGATCACTGATCCTGCAGTTGACGATTTGGATAGTCCACATCTATTCCACCTGCTCTCACAGATTCCTAGAACTTCCACGCCGTCTCTTCTCATTTCTTTGACAATCTGGGCAGCGTTTATGGTCTCTTACATTGTAAGAACATTCCACGTCCCAATTCTCAATTTTTCTTCAGTCGAAAGATGACACATTGGATGGCTAGTTTTCCGAAAGCTTTCACTAGCCTGCATTATTTCGTTTCTCTGATCCCGGAGATGAATAAGTTTGTTTCCTATATTTTTTGGTGCTTTGAAGTTAGTGTAGCGATTCTATTGATTTTCCGAGGTAGGATTTCTAGCTCCACGTATAACCTTCTCACTGTTCCCGCGCTGAGGACCGGCAAGTAAACTAGCCGAGGTTTTAGCTGATAGTAGGCCGATAAAAATGAGGGAGCGTTGGTTTGCATCAAGTTATCAACCTCACCCAGTGCAAATACCGAAGTTTTAATAAGCTTATAGTTCAACTTTCCAGTAGTAACACAGAGAATGAAAAAATCTCATCGCACAATATGCACTGATATTTTACTTCAAGTAACCACAGCAAGATATTCTTGCTAACTACTTCAAACCAAATTTATTTGCTTTTGTCATCTGGATGGTTGATGCTTATCCTGAGACTTGATCTAGCACCAATGAAGAACGAGAGAAAAATAACTAGACAACTAAGCGGTGATCTATCCAACGTTGAATTCAGATTCTGTGATAGGGTTTTGAGATAAAAAAAAGCATTCGAATGGAAATGATAATCCATGCGATGGAGTGTTTAAATGTTGACGAACGGAAAGTCCCTGAAAACGAATTTCATGCTGACTAGTTTAATCGAAATTCACATGTAGTAGCAACCTAGTATACTTCTCAGTGCTACAATTCATGAGAGACATGTGTGTTCTTTTGAAAAACACTAAAGAAAAATAATTACAATACTGTATAGTTCCTCTTACTAGTTCTGGATTCTTCAGGAGTACAACTCCACTAGGAATCGAACCCAGGACCTTGCACTTATAAGGTGAATCAATTGACCATTCAATAACTGGAGTTGAGTCGATGATTCACTAGTAGAATGTTCGCCAATCATGCAGCACACTGCCAGGGTTCGACTACCAACTGACTCACTCCTAAAACTTGGTCTAGCTTACTAGCCAATAGTAAGCCTGGAAAAGAGTTAAGGATGAGTGTGAAGTCTAGTGACCCCACTGCTATAGGAACTTCAGAACTCAAGTTTGAAGCACCATTCTCTACTCGGAAAGTAAAGGATTGAGAAAGTGGTTCCTATGCGCCAATGAGATATTATTGGCTAGAAGTTGGAAAATTGAGAGAACCCAATATCCTATTTGCACAGTATAGCTAGTTAAGTATCCTTCGGCTTTATGAACAACATTATTCTTACTGAATGATTTGGTTCTCGGTAAACACAACATATTAATGAGTCATGACCATGACCTGTCGGGTCGATTACAGCTCAAATTACATAGTGGCAACTTCGATTAACATGGCAAAAAGCTTAGATTTTTGTAGAATTATAACTTCTCAATATAATATTAGGATAACACTGAACTACTAGAGGTTATGATGTTAATTTTCTAAGCCTTACTCGTATTTTGATTGGACACTAGTAACTAGTGTGACGTGTCTAGTCCTTTCTTCGCTGCAGACTGAATTCTATCAGTCAGGTTTGCAATGTGGTCACCATTCTAGGTAGCTGCTCGCCATCATGGTGCACATTGATTTGATGATATTAGTTAGTTGAAGGCAATCGGCAGGAAGCCTTGCTCGACCTAGGTTTCGTGCCAGTTGGCACCAAGCAGTTAGCAAGGCGTATCTGCAACTGCCTTGAAGGAACTCATGTGCCTTCTGAGATTCGAACCCGCGTCACCCAGTGAGCGCTGCAGTCAGAGACGTTACCACTTGTATTCTCCACCTTTCTCTCTGTTATCTAACATTTATTAAGAAATTACACGTGCCACATTACAAATGTAATAAAATCTAATGGTGCTGCAAATTCAGTAGATTTACACTGAAGCCAAATTCTCATTAACGTGTAACTTCCATTCATTCATTCATTCATTAATTCAGCAAATTTACATTGCTAATTGACACTTAGTAATATTTTCTAAGATAATCTTATCTTTATTTATTTAACTGATTTGTTTTTTGACCTTTATATTATAAATAAAACAGCTTATTCCAATCACACATGTCACTGGATTATTCAAATTTTGTTGTAGAAAAATAAATAAATTAATAACACATACAAAAACACACACTGTACAAGTAGCTATAGTCCTTCATTGAATTCCTTCACCTTCCTAGTGGAACAAGGTGGGCTTCAAGTTTCAGTATCGGTGCCGTTGTTTTTTGTGCGGGGGGGGGGGGGGTCGCTAAGCTGACGCCATATCTTCCTTTTTAACCCGAGTTAATACCGGTGTCAATGGACGTGAACATTGAACGTTTGTTTATTGGAGCTGGCAGCCATTGGTGGGCAACTTAAAGGCGCGAATGGTTCGATCGCTTGCAAGTTGGAGAAGGGTGGAAGGAATACGAATAAAAGTACTTTATAACTTCATTTGTACTAAACATTTGTTTGTAGACTCAGTATTTTGTCTCGCTTTAATTGCCAAACAATAAAAATTCGTTCAAGGAATACTGGTGTTTTGGATTTAAAGTTGAAACGAAATACTTAGTCATTATCGGTTCAAATCGCCTACGTTACGATAGGAACTTAGGGCTAAGTTCCTTGACAACCGGCTATGTAAGGTTTAGAAATGAGTCTGCCGGGGATCGAGCCAAAGACTACGAGAGTGATTGATGGGCATTCTACGGTCGAACCACCGACGCAGATGGGTTACTACTGGAGATGAAATGAAAGTCAGTACAAATGAAGATTAAAATACAACTAAGTGATAACAAAAGACTTCTCACTATGGGCTATAAATTATATTTAAAGGCCTGTAACCTTACTTGATTTAGGAAGGTGAAACCAGTGGGATATGGCTTAAAACTATAGCATAACTATTGAGGGTTGATAGGATAAACCAATAAGAACTATTCAACGAAAATTCTACAGTCACATCACCCATAAAACAGTTTAATACTGATCTTTAATGTTTGTTTAAGTAAAACAGGTGGAGAATGAAATATGGAGGAGCTCTAATCATAGATGAGAAGTTCATTGACTGACTGACTGGTTTCAGTGTAGAACTTTGCACAGAATTCCATCAGTTCGAATTGCCACACTCCATGTAGCACACAAAGCAAGAGAAGACGTCAAAAAGAAATTCAAAACAGAGACATGGGCCAAAAAGAATAGCAGTATGGAAGAACAATAGAGTTTTATTGAATATTATAAATCACAAGGAGTGAATGCATCTGCGCTGTCATCGGGAACGATTTTGAGCCATATCACCAATTATCTCCAGCCTTCATTGGTTTTTAACGTCCCAAGTCTACACCTTCCTACGTGGCTTAAATTAACTGTTGTGGATTCCATTGATTGAAGCCATTTTTTGCTATGACCACCACTCGCTAGTTCTTTTACTACCTGATCCCATGTCAGCTAACATCGCCCGTCTAGGAAGGCGATAGCTAGGCATACGTAACACACATCCTAACCATCTCAATCGATGTTACTTCACAATCTCGTCGACTGATGATTTCCACTCCTTACCTAGCACTCGATCGACGCCTAACCTCAATATTACTCACCCTATTATGCCACTTCAAACGGAAAATGGACTTTAGTCAACTACTATGAGATGTTCGTCAACTAACTGTGATCAAGATTTGACCGGATAGTTCCACAAAAATTGGAAACCGAAGAATTTACAACAGTTTGCCGAACGAAACGACGGAATTGTCTTTTTCACTTTCGCTGACATTTATACACATATAATTTCTACATGTATTTCCGACAGTTAATAAGAATTTTATCCCAGTGAAAATATACATAAAACTGTGCTTTTTACTGCACG